AGGACGGTATATCATACATACATTGTATTTTGAAGAAAATGGGATATCAAACAGTTGACTGTAGCCATTAGAAATCTACTATGGAAGTCAATGGCTACCGTCATTTGATTACCAACATTCTTTTAAAATATCTTTGTTTGTGTTCATCAGAAGAAATAAACTCACAACGGTTTGGAACAACTTGAGCGTAAACAATGTTTACACAATGTAAACAATGACAATTTTTATTTTTGGGTGAACTATCCTTTTTAGGGTGCTATAAACTGGAGTGCAGTTTTCTGTGAAATAAATTTGACTCTGTTTAACCTTTCACACGCAACTTTAAAATATTCTAGCTGACCACCCAGTGTGCGACTTTCATTTTAAAATATATCTCCTTATTATTTCCATGGCGACGTTTCGTGATTGTGAAAATGAAAATGATGTCATTAATGACTCACCCTCATGTCGTCCCGAGCCCGTCAGAACTCTGTTCATCTTCAAAACACAGTTTATCATCTTCTTTATCGTCAAAGTAGAGAATGAGGCTGCGGATAACTGATTCCCATCTCAAGGCTTTGTGTCTGTGAACAGATTTATATTGTACCATTACACAACCTTTTATTCATACACAATGAACTCAATGAAATCAAGTGAGAACACAAAAGCATTCATGCGCAAGGAACACTGATTTGAGTACTTAGAGCAAAGTGACTCTACTTCCTGTTCCTGTCTGCCTTGCATTTTGGCCAAAGCAGAACTGTCGCTGAAACTCTATCATCTTCAGTACAGATTCTTAATATTTGAAATTTAAGTTGTAATTTATGACTAAAATTCTAATTACTGAAATTTCTGAACTTTTGACTTTTGTCTGTTTAATACAGTAAAGCTACTTTAATGCAATCTATATTGTATTAAAAGCTATACAATAAATGTACATGCATGTATGAGAAAAATACATTAAGTATATCTTATTTAAAAAAATGTGAACAAGCACACTTTTGATCAAACACACCTGACTCAGTTTGTCCAGAAATGGCCTCAGTTGGTCCCCACAACACCTCCCATGGCCTTCATCAGGGCAATAAGTCTTGATGTGCATTGGTCAAGTCTGAACATGAATCTCTGCCCCATGATCGATTCTCCTGAATTCCTCCTTGATCTAATGTGACAAAATGATTCAAGAGTACAACAGCAGAAATTTGGTTAAATAGACTGATGCAGGGAGCAAGGGTTAATTATACAAGGACTGTAGATATCAACAGTGGAGTGAACAATCCAGCACTTTATTTTGTAATGTGCAAATCCAAAGAGAAACACTAATTTGGCATTTCAATTTTAACTTTGAGTTTAGTACATTTCAAGTTTATTTATTTTTTCATGTGCTAAATCAGTTACTGTTGTCAATATTAATATTGCCCATGATTGCCACTCACGATCTCTATTTTCTACAATCAACTTTTAGAAACAGGATGATTTTAGAAACGCAGCCCTGCTTACTTTAAGACCTCATTTATGCACGATTTAGTGCGATTGAAAAAAAAAATAGCTTTATGTGTAAACGTTCCATCCTGAGCAATATTCAGCAAGAGCATTCAAACTTTTCCATAGTCAACAGTATAACGTAAAGAGCGGTTGACATTAAATTGTTAATTTTAAGGCCCAATTTTAGCTAGCTAGCAGTTAAAACGGTAAAGATTGTCTACTAATTTCTACTTAGTTTGACATTTTTACACGAAAAACAGTTCTTTGTGAATCTATAAAACTATTGAAAACTTCCGATTCAATATAAATAATGTACGTTAACGTTAGGAAGTGAAAAGGGGTTAACGATACAGTATACTGTTATGGATAACCCACACGCGTTGCACTAATATGAGGCCATGTTGTAAGGTGAGCATTAATGTTTATTGAGTCAAATAAACAGAATCATCAATCAAAACCCACACAGACTCATGTTTTATTAAATGTAAAACAGAAAGACAAACTTACCTCAAACACGACAGAAAGCAGCCACGCAGCAGCCCGCCAATTCGTCTCGTCTCAGATCCAAAGTGCGCAGTTAGACTTGTCCAAACGCGCATGTGCGGATTCAAACGCGCTATGCTTTTCTATTAAAATTTACTTAAAATTACTATGTTTATGTGAAGGGACTATAAAACGTTTAAATATTACAAGAAAATATATAATAAGATTTACTCTTTCCAACCAGTTAATTTATTACATGAATTAAACGCGTAGATATTTAAAATTTTACTTAGAAAATTCTAGTTCACATTGAATTTTAATTTTATTAAGTAAAAATTATGATGATTCATTTAATATATATTACTACACCAAAAAGTTCGTTTTTACAGTGTGACTACAGTGGCTTAACTGTAAGTTTATCAAGCTACGAGAATAGTGGAATAAAGTCGTTATTTTTGTTTGTTTGTTGCACACAGAAAGTATTCTCGTCACTTGATAAACTTGAGATTGAGCCTCTGTCAGTTGGACTATTTTAATGATGTCTTTAATAACTTTTCTGGGCTGGCAAGTTTCAATCCCTTAGAAGCATATAGAGGAGTGATCCAGCTCTCAGATTTAAACAAAAATAACTTAATTTGTGTCCCGAAGATGAACGAAAGTCTTACGAGGTTGGAACAACATGAGGGTGAGTAATTACTGACAGAATTTTTATTTAGGGGTGAACTACTGTAACCCTTTATGGCATGAAATCAATAGTAGTAATAAAAACAAATTCTTTTACATAACATTCATTACTCAACTGGACATTGTCATTAGTTCTTGTACTGTTTGATTTTTTCTTTTACTTTTAATATGGCCAACTGCAACAGAGTTGCTGTCGGTCTAGTACTTTAAAACTAGTGAATGCAACAAAGAGGCAATTACAGCTAACATTTTTGTTGAATTGTAGTCCTTGCATCAGATAATGTACAAAATCCTATTAAGTATACAGAGCATCAGTTGGAACAGATGCATTTTTATGCATATATGTTGCACTATAAGTAACCATAGCAGTACAACTGAAATGTGCCCCAGTGTATTGGATAGAGCTTGATTCATTGAGCCTCTTCCTTTTGTTGCAACATCCTTAAAACTCTGCAACTGCCTGTCTATCTTTTATACAGATATATAGTTATCTAGAAATGGAGAGTGTAGGTGAGATTTATGTTCAGACTAATGCATACACTTGCTGATCTGCCTAATCGCCATTTCGTGAGGCTGGTCGGGAAGCGGGAGAGATGGTGAACCTGTGATGCTCTGATAGGGGATTCCTGCAGGCCTGATTAGATCTAGGGCATGTTTGTCTTCCAGTAACAGGAATTACTTGATTTGTAAGAGGTCTGGCTTCCAGCAGCATTTGAGTATTAATTCCCACCCACACCCTGAGGAGGAAGCAGGGAATACATATTAAAGAGCTAGGATCTTTTACATCACAGCAGCAGTCAATAAGACACCATATACTTGGAGGGTGTGATGCATAGATATCTTGAAGGTGAATGGGGAAATGCTGAGATAGACAGACATTATTTTCTTGTATTCAAATATCTAAAAAATATTCTTGATTTTTCATGACAGACTGAAAGTTTGATTTTTGACCTAGACTATATAGCCTAAAATATGCATATGTATATAAATATAAATGCGCAATTACACTATAAATATGAAAATATAAGTATATAATTAAACTAAATTTTTACATAGTTTATATTCAAATGAACTTATCCTATATACAGTATATTATATATGTGTGTGTGTGTGTATATATATATATATATATATATAGGCTTCCTTTTGTATATATTTTAGTGCCGGGCAACGATTAATCACGATTAATCGCATCAAACATTTGTGTTTACATAATATGTGTGTGTACTGTCTAACATTAATTTTGTATATATAAATACACACAGATGCATGTATATATTTGAGAAATAGTTGCATTTATGTACTGTATATTTATACGTAATTGATATTATAAATAAATGTAAATATTTTATATATAAATTAATTTTTTTTCTGAAATATACACACACATACATATGTGTGTATTTTTATAAAGTAATTATACACAGTACAATATATTACAAACACATTAGTGTGTAAACAAAAAAAATATATATTTTGGATGCGATTAATCGCAATTAATTATTGCCTAGCACTTGTTTCCAGAGGACTGTAATTTTATGTGTAGCCTATTTATGTTACGTATAGATGAAATTTGGAGACAACTTCATCCATGAGGCGACTTACACTACGGTCTGTTCAGACACACTGTGATTTGGATGCCTTAAGGATATGTGCTCTTTTAGGTGATATTTTCAAACTAAGGTCTGCTCCAGCGGTCTCTGCCATCTGGACCCGGCAGACCCGCAAACAGGTCAAGGTGGGTGACATTCCCATGGCCCTGACTGCCTGTCACAATGCCAGTGTGCTAATTTACAGCCAGCAACCCCCCTATCCTGTCCTGTCCTGCTAGCCAGCAACTCAAGGGTGTGAAGATGCCAACAACATGCACCGCTGAAGACAAATCAGCCACAGTCTCTCATAAAACACCCAGAGGTCATGACCTCTTCACCTTTTCAACCCATCACTCCAAGTCATACAGCCCTACCTCCCGCCATGCCTACCTGATGGCCCATTCAGGCACAAACACCCAAGAGGAAAAACTGCTCCAAACAAGGTAACGGTCTCATCTGAGCCCACCGTACAGAGAAAACTATTTGCATGCCCACCCTCTGTTTCAGCTTTCGAGACGCAGCAGGGGGAATATGAAAGTCTGTAGTCTGTGAGTAAAGCAGCCAAGATATCTCAACACACGTGCAGTGAGAAACTGCTGGAGTACAGTGGAACAGCACCTCTTTCAACTAATGGCCCTGGAACAACAGGAGGGCCAGTTGCAAAAATGGGTTTGTCTGGCATTTGGCATTCTAACCAGTTTCTTGGCTTTTGTTGTCTACTGGAAATGAGAATATTTTCTTTTCAGTGCATCGTGCAGTTTTTTTTTGTGTGTGTTTTTTTGAGTGTGAGCAGTTACCTTATCGTTCAACTTTTGTCCATTTCAAATGGGAATGGTTTTGAAAGTCTTGAGTAGGACTTAATGTCATCATCTAACATCTCTTTATCACTAGTTTGCTTTATACAGTATCAGAGCTGAGATGAGCCAAGCATGGCTGCCAATCCTGTATTTGCCTTGTTGAGGTCAGCATTTGCTAAAAAGTTTGTAAAATATTTTTCCTGGACTCATACCTGACAGAGAATGAGTGGATGGACACAACAATGGTGGAAATAATGGTGGATACAGCTCAATGTTTGTGACTGATAAAGCCACAGCCAATGTAGATAAGCCACTCCCTGAAATAAACTGTCCCATTAAAATAAAATGTTGCCCATATAACGAATTGAAAACGCTTGCTTGGATTCTGCAGAATTTGGAGGGGATCCCAAGGCTGGTGCAAAATAAGATTGGCATTGCATTATAATTTATTCACAACCTCATATGACCATCCTAAACAAAATTCTGAAGCATGCTTGTTATTTATTTGCAAGCCCGAACCATAAATTGTCACCTTATATTTCTATTTTTAAGCGTTGCTGTAGTGGTATGGTAACGACTAAGAGTGAGGAAATTTGGGGAATTGCAAGGAATCCCTTTATAAATCTCCTTAACGATTACTGCTGCGCGTATGGGTTTAAAAATGGCACTGTATGCACATGTGTCTGGACCAGTCGAGAACATCACGTATTTATATGCTCGTGCTCAGTCGCGCGCTCTGCTCTCACCGGCCCTAAATCCCGACTGCGCCTGCTGACGTGAGGCATGCTGGGGTGAGTGCGTTTTGCCTATGCATTAGCCATTCATTTCGTCTGTCTGACACCTCTCCAACATAAAACCGTACGGCGGAGGTAAAATATCTCTCTCCTGGCGAAAATAAAGCTTTGTCTCCCTCCTGATCTATAGGATATAAAATAAAGCCATGGCTTTGATGGTGGCTTTACCTTATGCAGGGCTTGCTTTTTGTGCACACAAAGGCAATGAAGATGAATGAGGAGGGATTGTCGAGGCCTTGTCTCCCGTGGTCCTTTAGGATCACCCCCTTTTCTTGCGTTCGCTCCAGACTCTCGGAGAAGTTAGTCAGGCAGCTTTGTTATTGATCCGAGGCAGTCGATTGACACGAGAAGGGTTTGTGTCCGGTATTTTCATATTTTCTGTTTTTAAATTTGGATTACATGGATTAGCATTTTTTACATTTTTTTTTTTTGTCAAATTGAACGCGTATTCTTATGTGGTTTGTGATATTTTCAGTTATATTTACAGTTACTTGGAAATAGGCTACTTACAACTATACTTAGTTAAAAAAAAATATATATATATATACATATATATATATAGTTGGCCTAGTTGTTTTCTGGTTTGGCAGCTCTAGAATTATTGCTGAGGATTCCTATGAAGTTCTTAAAGTTTTTTATAAACGTTCTCAGATTAATAGCGCCACCCACTCACGCATAGCCTAGTGTAGGCCGAACGGATCTTTGTCCTTTTCCTTGTTTACTATTTCTGAAACCTGTCTTATCAATTCTTATCATTTTTTATTAAATTGAGAAATATTTTTTTTTTAAATCAAAGATGAGGTAAATTTTCATGGTTTGTATTTTATTTAATTTTATTTTATTTATTTATTTATTTTATTTATTTATTTATTTTTTGGCCGTATTATGTTCCTGACAGCTCCTACATGTAATGATGCACTGGTTCCACTAACACGAGCACTCTGGTTTGTGGAAAAAGTAATCAATAATGAGATGGAAGTAAAACATAGGAAAGAAACTCAAGTTCATCATTTAAAGTCAGTATTTCAGATGGCAGGCTATAATAGTGTAGCTTTGGCCATTTTCAAGAGAAAAAAGTATATATAATCTGAGGTTTCTTAAAAATAGAAATAGTGCTTTAATTCAGCCCTTGTTGATATCAGCAGCAGACAGCACTGGAGTCTTGCAGGCTGTTGGAGCTTCAGTGCAGAAATCTGCTCGTGTTTAGTAGCTATCTGCTGATTTTCAGCCCCGCAGTCGTCCCCCGAGCATTGCCCACTGCGCGATAATATCTCAAAGGGAGTGGTTATCACCACACATTATATTATAATCATTAGTGATCCTGGCCCTTTCACCCGCACTGCAGAATAAGCGCTGGGAACCATTAATCTAAACTAGAGCGACCATTCTCAAAGACTGCTCGTTTCTGTTCGTGCCCAGCGGGGAATAATATAAAAATGTTCTTGTCACTGCTCTTTGCTTGTCTGTCTCTAATGAGATAATGACGTAGATGTTCTTATGGTTTTTGTTGATGTTTAGGGGCATCAATAACGATTGTTATATGTCATCTAAGACACTATAACTTTATTAGTTTAAGTTTTTTTTAGTATAAGTTTTTTGTTAGGATATTGGAATATTTTCATTGGGCAGAAATAAATTGCATCGTGGTAGTGAGTCATCATTATCATCATCACGTTGATTTCCCCCTCACGCTGAGCCTTCGTTGCTAAATCATTTTCCATCACCTCGAATATTAACAAAATATTAAGATTTACTGTGTCAAAATTTAGACTATCTGACTGATTAATAATCACATTTTTGGAAGCTATTTTACAATTGCATGAGTATTCGTATCGTATTTATTCGTCTGGCATAGTTAAGATTTGAATAAGACTGTTAATCCTTGGTCTTGCATGCAAGGCCTAAGCGGGTCGTCGTGTCTGTGTTTGATTATCGGGTGAAGGGGGGAAATAACAGCTGTTCCAGTGACTACGAGATCTATAACCCAAATCGAATTTCTCTTGCCATTCTTCGGAAGAGTTGGAAAGTCAGGAAAAAAATGTTTAGTTACTGGTCAATACTGAAGCTATTGGATTATGTTTGCGTTTTATGCTCACAGAAGCATCTCATTTGACGTGGTCACTGTTTCAATGATGGACTGCTAATTATTTCTGAACACTTTATTTACCCTTAAGTCAACAATTCGTTAAGTTAGTCTGATTTGGAGTTCATGTTTTTTGGTTGAAGACTGCATTAAGGAATATAATTGCAGGGGTCTTGCTTCAGTCGTCCCAGCCCCCTAATCGGTTTGGACATGCTGTGGGTCCGGGACGAGTTTGGTCGTTCGTTGCACATCACCTCACTGCACCGCCGACAAGATTGACACAACGCGGTCCTGGAGCACCACACGCCTATTGTCCACACTGCGAAAATAAAGACATTCTCTTGAAAGCAAAGCAAGACACATGCTTCATTGCAGTCATATTTAAATTACCCCCCACCCCCACGCACGGCGCGCGCGCGCGGTCTCACACGCATGCGCACACCGTTTGGTAAGGACATAGGTGCTGTCCTGAATGGGGTTGTTTGCTTCCATGTCAGCCCTTTTGATCTGTTGTTTTGCTGATTGGTCTTTAAAAAAACGGTTTTAGGTCAACTTTTTTAATGAAGCCATTATAAGAGTAAAAAATAGTGAAGACTTTAGAAGAAATTAACACACACACACACACAACACACACACACACACACACACACACACATATATATATATATATATATATATATATATATATATATATATATATTACATCTGTAATAATACAATAGGCTACCACAATATTTATATTATATTCGAATTTATGTCATAATGTAAATTGCCGCACTATATTTTGCGTTTGTAGAACACTGCCAATTTTTTTTTTTTTTTTTTACTGCAGAGCACGTTACTAGTCATTCCACACATCATGAATAAAACGCGTAAACAAACAGGCAGCGGTGCAGAGCGATATGGAGAGGGGCCCGAGGCACAGATTCTCCCCCTTTGCTCGGGCTCCTGGCGGTCCCGGTGCACCAGCTGATCAAAGCCCGAGTAAGGGGTAATATTTCTCACTTTATTACCGGAGTCACAGCGTGTCTATACGGCCAGCGATCACACACTGCTCTGCCCACACTGGCTCAGTTAATGTATCGTAGCTATAGAATGATTAAAACAGTGCGGGGAAAAAATACACTAAAAAGCAAAACCACTCACTCTCTTAATAATAATGGTATTTTCTTTAAGATGACACTTTCATTTTGTTTTATTTGTGGAATGTTTGTTTAATTTTTAAAACGAATATATAACTAACATCCACAAACGAAAAAAGTCCTAAAATATTCAACAAATTTAGTCAAATTAGTAGCCTATATTCCACACGAGATGGCATATGCAGCTCGATCCAGATAAAATGTTTATTTATATATCTCATGCATCTCATCACTGAACTTTAACACTGCACTTGAGCAAAATGCTCTGATCATGACGGGAACAACAGAAACTTTGACTTCCATATGTTCCATATGCATAAATCTTTTGAATATGCACTTGGCTGAGATTTAATAGGCTGCACATTTTATGTGATAATAAATGTTGGAGAATTTCTACTGTATCTATAAACCTCTAACTGTTTGATTCACTCTCTTGCTTTTTAGGTTCGGCTTATTCCGCGCTAAGAGCATGCGTAAAGCAGCCAGTGCAGTTTGACAGGCATTGGTCTCTCAGTGGTGAGAATGTTTCGATCGATAGCTCCCTCTAGCACTGCCCCATCTCCAGACATGGCCGCTTTTTCCGTTCGGTCAGTATAGTCCACCTGACGATGCCACTAATTGAAAGCTGTAGGCCTATTCCCATCATCATGGATGAGTTAGCATGTCTAATTATCAGTCTGCTATCGAAATCGATACATTTGTAAGCATGATGTTTATTATTATTATTATTATTATTAATGAAACTTCCTTTGTAGGATAGACATAAATGTTTCCAAAGTTATACTCAAAGTGGAAAGCAGATTTTGTTCATATAACCTGAACAAAGGTTTTTACCAAATCCCTCTCGATTAACTGGGTAAAATACCCGATGAACGAATTTAAAATGTAAGTTTATTTTAAATCATTCCAATTCCAAAGAAATTTTTTTATTTTTTAAGTTCAGTTAAATATTTGCAAATTATTTTTAACTGTAGCATATAATGTCATAAAGATAATCATTGCGAGAAAAAGTATCCTTATTAGCCTATTATTAAGCTGTTATTATTGTTAAGCTGTAATAAGTTTTAGCCCCTAATAAAGTGATAATGTAGCTATTATGTCCGAAATAAACAGAAATGTGACGAAAAGCATATTCGAAATTGTTTAAATGTTGTTGCAAACATATAGTGAAATATTTTATTCCGTTCCTCTCTATATTCAATTCTCTCTATTATTATTGAAGACGAAACAACCAACGGATTGGAATGCCTTCCAAATATTGGGAAATGTTGAAATGAGACTAGTTGAAATTAGAGAAAGGGGAGGAGTGGTGGCCGCATAGGCAACTGCAAAAGATGGAGTGTGTTCATCTTTTATCTGTTATTCGTCGTGAAACAACACATGTCATCCAAGGGACCCACAGTCAAAGAGGAGCACTCCCTAGACGCTCATCGGCAGCTGTTTTTGTGTGTTGTGCAAGGCCTTTTGCTGCCATAGACTGGACCAACCCCACTATTCCGTTTTACATGAGATATGACACATATGCACAAAGTTGCGTGGTATTGGTTCCAGATTCCAGGCTGGAACGATTGCACAATATACGCGGAGAGAAAGTTAGCTGAGATTGTGAGGTAGAGGGGCGTGATGTGTGTGTGTTTAAGATGGAATGGCAGACTCTGTATATGGTGATGAATTGTGTCAGTGACACACAAAGATACCACAGGTCCGAAAATAGATTCGTATTCGGAACGTGTGCTTTAATTATATTGAATTATAACATAGATATTTGCTGTGAAAATGTCAGGATAATGTGCACACAGCAAAAACGAAACATTTCATATTAGAAAATAATTCGTGTACAGAAAAAAATTACACACTGAGCATATTTTAATTAGTATAAAACACAAAAAATAACATTCAAGGGTTATCGAGAAAATGATTGTCCATCCATATAAGGAAACAAGCATGGGACCATTCGATCTGAAATGGTTCTGAATTATTTAGCCCTATACCTTAATTGTTATTTACAATGAAATGTAACCATCAGCTAGGCTACATAACTCGAAGAACACGGTGTATATTGCTTAAAATCAGAAGAACGGACTTAACAGATCCAACATAACACCATAAGGTGTTTGGGCCATTAGAGGCTGAGGTGATCTAACATCCTGTAAAGTTTAGAGCCCTTATGTCTTTCACTTTCTCTCTTTTAACAAAGGACCAAAGGCGGATTAAGTGTCTTTTCGTTGATTGAATGACGTTGTCAAATTGTCTTCGTATTTTTTTTTTTTTTTAAACGGAATAGGCTGTAAAGAATAGCTTTAAAAGATTGTTTTTAGAGCTGGGTATTGTTCCATCTTACTGTCTTGGGATATATTATGGTTATAAATTAGATTTAGTGCCAGTGAATGGGAAAATTAACTCTTTTTGACATTTTCAGATTAGTTCTCGCCCAAGACATATAAACATGATTTTATAAAACAAAGTAGCCTAGCATACGTTATTATTTTATGGGACACACTTCATGAAATGTTTCAGGAAACATTCTGTTGTCTTATATCGGATACATAAAAATATATATAGGCCTAAATATTTCCATGCTTGCGCTGTTATTCATTACAATAAATAAAGAAAAAAGAAATGCATATTCCAGAATAATCCTTGCGCTACATTTCTTTTTAATAAATAAACAACGCAGTCACACTCAGTTACACAACAGTTTTCACAGCATGACGTATCTCCAATAACTTAACGCACTGACACATCTACATAGGCTATACATAAACAATGCGTAAATTATCAGATATGTACCTTATCAAATGCTTCTCGTGTCCCTCCGCTCCACCAGAATAGAAGATTATTGGAAAATGACGAGAACAAGTAAAAAGACTTTCAAATAGCAAGGTCTGTTTTCTGACTCCCCGCATTAACTAAGATATGACAGTTTCTGGGATTTTTGACAATTGGTGTCTTCTGTTCCCTATAAATAGCGCAGAGTGTGCCGGTAAAGCGGTGAGGGGATAGCTAATGGTTACTTGAACGGCAAGCCGCTGATTGGCCTCGGCCCGGAGTGACGTCAGGAGGCTGTGAATAAGGCTGGCTCGTGTGCTTTCAGGAACATGCAGAACACCGGAGGCTGTTCGGGGATCGTCATCAGTCCTGCAACGAGATGTCACGCGCATTCTATTCACACTAGTATCTTTCACCTCTTCTGTCTTACCGAGGAAAACAGCACACGTTACAGAGGGACACGCACTTTTCAAACGCGTTTGGTCGTTGCATCTCTCAGAGGGACGTAGGATACAGTGGATACGTGGACATGGTAAAGTGCACTCTAGTGTCTCTGGGCTCGCGTGTCTCCTGTGCTGAAGACCGGTTGCATTAGCTGCTCGCTTATGAAAGACTTGAATGAACATCATCACCAATGCTTCACCTTGTTGACAACGGCGACTTGCTTTTTCCGCAATGATGCCCATGTCTTTGTAGCCAACGAACAGTTGGTGTTTTGAAAGGTTTCTCTATGCTGGCTTCATTAGTGCATCTCAGAATTTGGGAAGGAAGAGGAGGAGAAATAATGACTGACAACTGAAGCTCTACCTCATGAGAAGATCCTCTTTTATCATCTTGATTTTGGACCGCTACAGGTCCATCCGCATACACAAAAGTGGTGAATATATTTAAAACTTCTTGATCTTTTCCTTTCAAACCTGTTCGCCAAGACTGATTTGGAGCATCCTTCAGCGTTACACCCTTTCCCTCCTCTCTTTTGGAAGGGGAAAACAGGAGCAGCAGACCCTCAGGTTGTGGACACCACGGCAGTAACTGTGGGAGCACATCCAAAGACGATGGTCCACTGTGCGGGCTGCGAGAGGCCTATATTAGACAGGTTTCTCCTCAATGTACTGGACAGAGCATGGCACATCAAGTGTGTACAATGCTGCGAGTGCAAATGTAACCTAACAGAGAAATGCTTCTCTCGAGAAGGAAAACTCTATTGCAAAAACGACTTCTTTAGGTAAGTTCCTTGCGTGAGTTCGACCTCAAGATTTGTTTCGTTTTTTCTGCTGTGGATCTATGTCTGTGATACATGGGAATATAATAGTTTATTTAATACGATGAGCTTCAGGGACACTGGTGTAATTGGCTACAAGAACAACTTATCTCCAATATTTATCTCCAATAGACAGCTATAAACGGTTGGTTTGCAGCTATATGGTTAAATCGTTTCATTTATTTATTTATTTAAAAAAAAAAAAAATATATATATATATATATATATATATATATATATATATATATATATATATATATATATAATTTACCGTTCATGGGTTATACATAAAATAAACCAAAAGACACCCAAATATAGCCTACATATAATTGTAAAATGGCACACACATTTGGGAAGTAGCCTTTTCCTCAGTCACTTAAACATTTACAATTTGATCGGTAATAAACTTAAAATTCAAAATGCTGTTAAAGCTATAGTGTAGTAGCCTATACACACACACACACACACACACGCACAATTTTGCATGATTTCATTAGAATTAGGACTTACATTCACACTAACGTGAAGTGTGACCTAAGCACTGTCAACAAACCCGACTTGTTTGATTCTTTGATTAGGACGTCCATTAATTAAATGCTTGTTAATTTGAATTGTTATGCAAAATGGCGAGCAGATACACTAATAGTCTGTGTACTCGTCCGCAGCAAGGGTTTTAAGGAAATCACACTTTGTTTACAACGAATGGCAGCCAGGGAAGCCGCAGGGATCAATGCTTTGCCAGGGTAGTTGAAAGTGTATCGCGGCCCAGTGGCCCCGCGTGTGGCTGCAGTGCTTCGAGTTAAGATGTGATAAGTGGATTTGAATAATAAACGACTTTGAGATGGAAACCCTCAGACAATGTAATCACAGACTCAGAATCAACAATCTGTACAGAAAACCACAATACACATTTTTGGTCACAATGAAGTGGTGAGTATTTACTGCAATAGTGATTGTATTGGAAGAATGTACGTCTTTGTTACGGGTGATTATTAATTACGCTTTAATTCACATTAAAACACATGCTAAATAAATCTAAATTCAAAGTATTTTTTTAGGTGTAGACTACCTATATTTTTTTATTTTATTTATCGTTAACATTGCATAAACAATAACAATTGAACAAATATTTATTGTGAAATGTAGCATGTATTATTCCCAAAATAACAGTGATCATAATATAAAACTATATTATAAAGGATGAAAAAATATAAAGAATATCTGCTATTTTAACGTGGTATATTGACCTTTTTTTCTTGGTCTGTCCATTTGCAGGCGCTTTGGAACGAAATGCGCAGGTTGTGCTCAGGGGATCTCGCCGAATGACTTGGTCCGGAGGGCACGGAGCAAAGTCTTTCATCTGAACTGCTTCACATGCATGATGTGTAACAAGCAGCTATCAACGGGGGAGGAATTGTATATCATAGACGAAAATAAATTTGTCTGTAAAGAAGATTATTTAAGCAGCTCGAACGGAAAAGACGCCAATCTCCTTTCAGGTGAGTAAAATTAATTAGGGGAAATGATAACTGAATATATACAGTCTATAGTCGTATATAGGCTACTCACTGTACGCGTCCGTGTTTTTTTGTCCCATATTATTTCGCTATATCAATAATAGTGAACATTTAGATTAAAGATTAATATCAAATACAGACTGAACTCGCCTGAAGTCCGTTCAATATGTCTCACAGAAGCCAATATTTTGTGTATTTTGTATGCATTTTTCTATATTCTTAAATAATAAAATAAATCTTCAGACAGTGTCATGCATAGCACATTTTGAAAAGTGAAATGAAGTACATATTTTGCTGCATTAATTGTGTGGCCTATTGCAGAGTAACAGCTGGCCAGTTTATTTTCTAATAATCTTTAACTGTAATCTAGTGTATTGTGACGGTTCTGTCAGCTCTAAATACCAATATTTCTTTGTTCTTTCTTTGTTTATTCATTTCTTCTTTTGGTTTATTGAATTTTGCGTTCTTTTTGCTTTCTTTTTTCATGTGGGTTTATTTATTTATTTTACATTCCATTGTTTAGTGTATAACACTTCTCTGGTCCCCATGTCTAATTCTGAGTTTTTTATTTCGACTCCTTGTCTCCGACGTCCCTTTCCACATTCAGTTACAGCTTGCAGTGACCCTAGTTTATCGCCAGATTCGCAAGACCAGCTACAGGACGATGTCAAGGATGCGGAAAGCGCAAACTTATCGGACAAAGAAACGGGTAACAATGAAAATGATGACCAGAATCTCGGAGGCAAACGGAGAGGACCGCGTACCACGATTAAAGCAAAGCAGTTGGAGACGCTGAAAGCGGCATTCGCGGCGACCCCCAAACCAACCAGACACATCAGGGAGCAACTGGCGCAGGAGACGGGGCTCAACATGCGAGTTATTCAGGTAAACTTAAACACCATTACATACATTAACAAACTGTGTTTATTGGTTGCATTTAATTGCTTTGCTTGCTGCTAGTAATTTTGACGACAAACACCATTAGATAGGCCCACAAATACTGTTTCTTGACGTGTGTGATTCTTAGGCATCTTGTGGTAGGCTACAAATGTCTCTTCCTGGATGAAATAGAGAAAAGCACATGCGAGCCTTCACTGTGCCTCCTTTCCAACCCTTGAGGCAAGACCATTTGAATTGAAATGAGGACACTTTTTGCTGGCACCTGTAAATATTTGGAAGTAACATTTATATGGTTAGCCTTTTTATACTTGACTCGAGAGATGGAGAGGCACGCCAGCTGGCATCAGACTGGTGAGAACGATGGGAGTCTTGGCAATGCAGCGCCATCACGTTTTGCGACCACATTTAGACATGCTGTGACGGTTCTCAGTCAAGTGGAAACGCAGAAATCTGTCCCTGTGTCTGTCAAAGTACCTCATACTAGGTGGTGTTCTGTGAGAAATTGAGAATCGATCTTTGCTTTTTTTTGTCGAGTGAACGGGCGGAACAATGAGAGTCCAGCCAAGGCGCGCAGTCCATTGGCGAATGCGCGCCCTCATTTACGCACGCTATATGGGATTTGTCAGCATCGTTTTAAAGATCCTCATCTTGGTCATTTTGTTCAGCGTGAGAGATCCGATAAGAACACAGATAAAGCATCATCTTCGTTAAAAGCCCCGTAATAGATTGGTGCTGCGGGGATAATGTCTTAAAATGAGACTCAACATAAGAGCAAGTGCAGGGAAGGGGTTGAGATTAATAGAGGGACGAGGTTGGATATTTAAGACCGTCAGAGTAAACTATAATTAGCAAAAGGAATTCAAGGGTGGATATATAGATTACGAAATAATAACTGCATAGAGCCGGTTAATATATCGGTAACCACCCTCCTATTAAGTATTAATTAGAGATTTGAAGTCCCCGCTGCTGCCCCCTCAGTCGGAGTAAATGGAGGGTTAAAAGATCATTAAAGTGAGGTTAGATCCGACTCTCTAACAGTGACGATAATTACGAGTAATCTTGTCACTACAATACGAATGTATTCCGTCACTTCACAGGCCTACCTCAGTGGACTGTGAAAACGCTGCTCTGACCCAATAAAAATAGTAAACGTGACATGTAAACATTGGGCCATAGTGACAGACTGTTAGGTTTGCACATCTAGTAGGCTCTCTTATTTTAGTTTGCATGGCACTCACTATATGCAAACTAAAATAAAGTAAAATAAATAATAATACAAATAAAATAAGCTACAAAAGTTTAAAAATCCTTTAAATGTTTAAGTCAAATCGGTGCCAAAGGCCTGTATACATTGTCCAATTTGAATAAGCCTACTTCAACAATAAATAAAATCGAATTGACTCTCTGAAAAAATCGTAAAATCAACAAAAACAAATATGTTGGTATAATGCTGACCGCATTTAAACAGTGCAGTCACATACATTTACGCAAATATGTTAGTATGGTTAACATCTAATGTTTTTATTTTGGTAGTTGATAGTATGATT